TTTTGATCTAATGTCATTTCACAAAGTAAGGATGACAAGGCACATGGTTCTTAAACTCCTACATATTTGAAATTCCAGCCAACTTGCTATTTCTGACAATTTATAAGTTTTTTAGTTCAGAAATAATGGACTCGTTCTTACTCTTGTAATAAATACAAGGCTTAGTTTCTTATTTCCACTGGAAATTTTAGCTTGAACAAAGGCTGAACATCAAAAATATCAGTCTGAAAGTTAGCTTTTCTAGTAAAATAAATATTTTAAAACAACAGATTAAAATTTAAGGTATTTAATAATCTTGGAGCATTTAAATCTTCCTAATATTATTAGTAAATGATGATCCGTTTATTGATATAGAAAGAAATGATGTTGAAAGAACTGAGAACTCTAAAGGACATTTAAATTAATAATCACAGCTCCTAAATTAAGAGCAGACTGCCTGAAGCTATAGACATAATCCTACCAAGTTTTGTATGCTAAACAACGAAAACCTGAATCTTCTTCAGATCTGAGTGGAAAAAACGTGTTCTTAGCAGCCAAGGGTCTTGTTAAAAGCTGTGTATGTTTTTCGACCGTTCTAAATCTTTTGTCAAGGATTACATGCTGCTGTCTCCAGTGTTAACATAATGTTCTTTATGTTAAAAATGTGATTAGCTGCAGCAGAATAAAATATTCATCCCGACATATGGGAGAGAGAAATGAGTTATGGGACCTGCTATGATGCAAGTTCCACACTATTGATAACATGAAGCAGCAAAAAAAAAAAAAAAAAAAGGAAAGGCAGTTTCTTTTCCAGCTTCTTTAGAAAAAGTTTTCAGAATAAACGGTGTCTTGAGCAACATTTTCCTCCACCACCCAAGAAAGAAAGAGGCTCTGAAGGAAAAGAGGCTCTGAAGAATTAATTTATTGGAAGAATGGTTCTTTACTCTTGCCTCTTCTGTCAATAGTTTCTTTTGTACAGAACAAATGTGTCAGGAGAAACATTATTGAACCAGATAAAGTGATGCCTTATGTTTAAGATAAGAGAACAGAGGCAAGGTTGCCAATTTGAACTAAGTAGAAAATAGATTATCTGCTCCCACACCCCCTGCCTTTTTAGTGCCTCTTTCCCCACCTTGAGAGCTTGTTTTCTGCTGGAGTCAGCATGCGGCATTGAACCTGCCCCACACCTGCTGGGGCAGGATCTGAGAAGTCGTCTTCCTTTCAGTTTCAGCCAGTAGGGTATTTTTCACCTAGGATAATACCCCTACCTGGGGCTGAAAAACTGGGCTCTTGCTTGGTTTTGCCATTATACTGCTTTGTGTCCTCCAATTAGCCAACGCTTCTGTAAAATGCAGTGGTAACACCAATGTATCTCACTGGCTCAGTTTGAAGCTAACTAATGTTTGAAAAATGCTCAGCAGTTCTCAAAAGGACTGAAATAAGAATGCAAACAGCGCTGCCGCTGCTGGGCGCTTGCTCATGTAACTGGTCTGGCTGCCGGCCTGGGACCGAGCAGGGCAGCTCTGGGCAGTGCTGCTGGCCTGGGAACTGCCTTCACCTCCTCGTTTTCGTGTTATTGGGCAAGCTTTCGTCTTCATAACATTGTGGTTATTATTTCTGTGTGGTTTGCATCATAAATGCAAATACATGAAAACGTCCATCAGCAAATAAAATACAAAGAGAGAGGCACATTATTTCAGAGGCCCCTTCAGAAGGCCAAAGAGTTCCAGTTTTTGTAATCTGAACAACACAGAGGAACAACAAAAACAGGCATACAGGTAGAGCTGTGTGTCAGATATCTAGAAATTTCCCCGCGTGGGTCAACCTGTTTCTCCCGATGACTCAAGATAGCAGGAACAGAGCCAAATAGTGATCATGTGGGGTCTGAAGGAGGACAATGAGGATGTCACTTGGCAACACAGGAAGAGGCTGTTCTCATGTGGAAAAGGTAGAGAGCTAGGGGTGGGACAATTAGTGAAATTAAGTGAAAGCCTGGTACTTCTACCTGAGAGAGAGTTAGTCTGGTACATCATCAATAAATGTGCTGTCTGCTGAGGCAAAGTTTCTTTATAAGGTACCACAAGCCTCGTCTAGACTAGCTCTGTTGCCTTGCAGATGAATTTGTGCAGACTGCATCACTTAGAGTTAAGTTTTTTATGGCAGGGGCGATCTACTGCTTGTTCACAGGCACAATCTCTTTTGGCATGTGTCAGCAGTACTGTAAAGTGAAGGATCTGGAATGCAAAGAGCTTGCTGTAGGCTCATGCAGAAATAGCACAGGAAACCAAACCTATGCAGTAAAACAAAGCGCTAGCAATAGTTGTGATGGAGAAACGTGGAAAACAGGAAAAGGAAGTTTAAGGCTATTACCTGGATTTTGGTGCCCTTCGTCTTGGAGGAATTAGGCACAGTACTTGCTGATTGGGTTGTGCTGTAATGCACTCCTGACAGCCTCAGACAGAGGTCTGGATGTGATAGATTGGATTGCCTCAATTTTATGCTTGCATCTCCTCATGCTGACCTGTACACCTAATGGATTTGTCTTACCCTTGCTAGAAGACATCTGCAGAGGCGATGTGATGGAATTGCAAATTGTCCACCTCCAAAAGTAGTTATCTTACATCTCTTCAAGAAGGGCATTAATCTGCTCTGGATTGCTCACAGGCAGGCACTACGGCCTTGTTCGCGTTAGTGAGGCAGTACCACTCGTCCCAGAAGTTCCTGTAATTGGAGATAACTCGATGTGGAGCACATCAGCAGTGGCGGCGTGGTGACTGCGGCTGGTTGAGGCGGCGGGTGGACCCCCGTGGGACCAGCCATCCGTGTGCCCAGGCGCGAGGCCTAGCTGACTGGAATGCCACAGAGCTCCCTGCACTGCTACTGATTTCTGAAAGGGTTCTCTCAGTAACCCTGAGAAGTGAGACTACAAATGTTCCACGGTGGGATTGTGTCAGAGGAAAAGCTTGGAGCTGGGAGGGAAGTTTTTGCTGTTCTCCTGGTTGGCCAGTACTAAGGCACGCCTTTGGTAGTTAGCATTGTGCAGATTGCTCTGTGCTGGCTTTGTTCTTACACGTTGTAACATTCATCCCATTCCGTGCTTATTTCCGTGGTGTCTCTTCTGCTTATGCACAGAGACAAATGTTTCCTTGGTGAATCTGGGTGCACAGTGGTTTCTCTTCCTTACATAGGCCAAAAACTTTCCCAGGATATTCACTTTGCAGTTCATTTGAAATTTCATGGCACTTCTGGGCTAGAGACCCAAAAGACATCTAAGTTGTTTGGTGATGCTGGAGTTTGAAGAAATGGCACTTTTCCTCCCTCTGGGTCACTTGTGAACTTGTTCACTGAACATGCCCTTTTTAGATTAAGCATCACACTGAAAGTCTTTGTACGTGCATTTTTATAAGAAACACAGATACGTCAGTCTTGGTGCTCTGACTGAATTACAGCCTGGGGGATTTTGTTTCAATACTTAAAAACGCTTCTGTCCTAACAGCTGGCTTTGGTGCCACAGAGGAAAATCTGGAGGTGAATGAATTATAAGGAGTTGTAATTATTGTTCATGTCTGGATAGTAAGCACCTATTGATGCCTGCATGGAGACATTTGAATTCCTTGCATTAGTTGCAAAGAGCTGGTTTTGTTCTATGAGTAATGGAAAATATTTTGCTTGATCTATAGACTGTGGAGTCAGGAGAAAAATCAGCCTTTCCCACGCCAGTCTGTATGTTCCTAACTTGAAAGCTCAAATAATTTGTGGATATCTCTGTTGCAGGTGATTTGTAGTGCTAGGATTCATCTTTTTCATTTAGTGAAACATGCTGTTTGACTTAGCCTTGGTCAGTTATTACAGGCTAGTTTGCAGTGTGGCAGCTCTCTGGAGACCCTGCTCATAGCTACTCATTGGCCTAGAAGAAAGGATTTAATGATTTTCTACTTCCTCTCTGTTTGGTTTTAGGGTGTAGATATTTTATAAATGTGAGTCAAACTATTTACGGGTGACATTTTACAAATTTTCACTCTGTTTAATCTCTGAGTAATGTTTTTAGGTTCGTATATGTTATGGCCCTTGGCATTTCGGACTAACGTATCTCCAGGATGACTTTGAGGATTTTGTCTTTAAATGGATTCTATAGTAACTTTGTAATTTATTTTTACAAAAGTTGTGCAAATCCCTAAAATAATTCCTACCCTTCCTAGCTATGCACACTGGCAGTAAAGATGCAGAGCAATACCAGCAGAGGCCTCCAAGGGAGAATACCCCATGTGGTGGTAGCTGAGGGCTCTGGTTACAGCCAGACGACGAGCAAACCAATTATTTGTCTTCTGCTTGTGTGCCAAAAGAACTTAAATGTACAAGTTGATAGGTCTTCGTGCTTTATAAAGTTGATCAAGTGGCTTTATCCCGACTGCAGAGCTCCGTAAATTAAGTCACAGAAGTATGTCCAAATTAAGTCACAGAAACATCCAAAATCACAGGCTGGATTTGTAACTTCTGTGGAAGTGGCATAGAGATTTATAGACTCCTTGCTGTAATCAGGATTGCCTCATCACAACAGAGATTCCCTTTAAATACCTTGCAGTATTGTACAAGAAGGAAGACAGACATGATAAAAACAGAATCTTGAATAGCACCTAGAAATTAATGTGTGACTATGATAGATTACTGGTCACGTGTGTATTACTGTCCCAGAAGTCGTGTGACAAAGCAGCAGATCCCTGTAGTAAAGTCCAAGTCTGTACCTTGAATTAATACAAACTCTGAGTCTTAATTCCTGTTCATTTTGACTGCTCTAACTACAACTTCGGAGCCAAGCTTTGACATTTGTTTTTGTAAGTTTCTTCACTTGGTGGTTTTTGTTATGGAAATAAGTGTTTGGAGGAATGATTTTTGTGATACCATTGCTTATCTATGAGATTTCAGCACAGTTAGTAAAGGTTTCCTTTTTTTTCCCACTCACCAAGTTACGCAGTATAGTAACAGTATCCATATTCACGTAAACTGTCTGAATTTTCTTTCAGATGATGTCAATCCTAATGAACACCATCATTTTTGAGGACTGCAGAAACCAATGGTCTGTGTCAAGACCACTGCTTGGGCTTATACTTCTCAACGAGAAAGTAAGTATTTAAGGAATTTTACCAGTTTTGCTCCTCATGTGCCCAAGTAGTTGAAATCATTATTTCACGTAAAACAAAGTTGCCCATTGCCCTTTCAAATTCTCCATCTCTTTCCTTGGAACTCAGCTCACACTAGTAACAGAGAGCAGAAATCAGCTCATCTACTGTATAGGTATTTTACGGATTTGTTCACAAAAGCTGAGTGGCTTAATTAGGATGAGAAAATCCTCTCAAACTTCACCCCAACTTTTACACCCAACCTTGTATCATGCAAATATGGCGAACATTTTTAAATAGATTTTACATCTTTGCTGTTTCAGAATTAAGCAGAAATAATAGGCAAGGTCATCTGGCTTTTAGATAGAAATTTGAAACAGGAACGCTGTGCAAATCACATCAGAAAAATTGCTTCCTAGAAAAAGAGTTAACCAATTTCTTTTTCTGAAAGGTTTCACAGGAACAACTAGCTTTGAGGGTATTATCTGAGCTCTTACACTTAAGTACCAGCATTGATTGCAATTTGGATTATGTTCATCTGTGGCAGATCTGTAAACCAGGAAATACTCTGCAATTTGCCCTTTCAATAAAATCTGAAACTATGAATTTGGATATACCCATCATGTTTCCCTTGTGGCTTAATAGAGACAATATTGTCTGAAATGGAAACCATCTGAGTAAATGAATGCGAGTTGATCTAAATGTGTGCATTTTTTGTATAGCAAGGCATTGTTTCTGAAGATATTGACCTGTTGTATTCTCCATAGTTCAGAGCTAGCTCTAACTTTATTCTGAATTGCTTTATCTCTTGGGCAGTCACAAGCCTCAGTGTATTACTGCTTTGGAGAATGAATTGTCTATACAATAAGAGGGTGCTGGAAAAAAATAAGACACTAAGATTAGCAGCAACCGCATACATTAAAATTCAAACTGAAATCCCAGCTATGGAAGGAAACTAATAGAAGAAGAAAATATATCAAGAAGAGAAGCGCTGTCTCATCATTCACCTGTGCTGAAGGATCCAATTTTAGCCATATCCAATAGCACTGTCATTCATCTTCTTGGTGTGTTATTGTGATTTAAATCCAAGCTCTATAAGAGAGAGCAGTTCTTTTAAAATGATTGAGAGGGAATAAGGGCAAATTCAGTGTTTAGGAAAACTTTATGACATCACAATATTATACTTTACAGATGGAAGCAATATTTCCTACTTTGGAAGGAAAACTAATCATTTTCTATCTGCTCTGAGTCACTGCATCATTATAAAAGTGGGAAATAAGTAGTTTTGTGCATTCCCAATCTTGTTCAAGACGACACTTTTGTTTATATAATGCTTCTGATTTATAGTGTTTAAGTATTAGCCTGACTACATATTAATTATGTGTTTTTTGATGTTAGCTGCTTCAGTATAAGAAGAAATTAAATATTTCACTTGAAGATAAAACCATGGAGCTGTAAATCATAAGAAATAAATTTGTGACTGGCGGAATATTCTTCTTACTGAAATTAGACTAGTTCTAATGATTATGTGTTTTGCTTAGCCGACATGGATATGTACAAGCACCTTTACTTATGAACAAGTCTTGCATTTCTTTTGGAAGGGTGGAGAACGGGAAATATAATTTACAATATTTGTATTGCCCATTTTGCATCAAGGATATTATTTTGTGTTCAGAAAAGAGGAGGTAATGTACTTATATATGGCTGTAAAAGTCATCTTTTCTTGGCTCATTTCAGTACACTGCTGGTTTATTTATTGAAAATAGATTCTTTTATTTCAGGTAGGGTCTCTGTCTCTACAGTTCCTGAGATAGCAAGCACACATTAACCACGTTTTACTGCTTGTTCTCTTCTACTTTTGTTTTAATGATATCTTCTTTGCCAATAATTCATCTCAAAGGGAAGGAAGCAGGTTTACTTAGGGACTCAAAAAATTGGGATTCATGCGTGCTTGTCCCAATAGGCTTAGTTATGCCAAAATGGGAATTTTGCTTAGAGTCCACCCTAAAACAACTCTAAATCTTTTGAGACAGCATCAGCTTAGTATGAAATGGGATGGTTGCTGGTGGCTCCTGACATCATTCCCATACTGAAGTGCAGCAGCAAGTTTAATTTAAATCCTAGTGGGAAGGAATTGGCAGGGAGAGCCCTTTATATCTTGATAACATAGCAACTGTGTCATCTCCTTGCTGTTGTCCCTCAGCCAGAGAAGACAACCACAGGCATTTGAGTGTACGGGCAAAAGTGATGTTATTGCAGAGAAGCCCTAGAAACCCCAGTGCTGGGAGCAGCTCCGTAGTGTTGGGGCAGTGAGGCCATGGGAGGGTCCTACAGGGGAGGCTGCAATTACTGATGTTAGGCAAAGGTGTAATTCCTTGCTGTTAGCTGAGGGTGCTGGCGATGCTGTGGGGCTGACTGAAGGCGTTCTTGGAACACCTCTGTTTTGAAAACGACTTGTGGGCACCAGAGGAGATATCAGGGTTGTGGCCTTCTCTAAATTGAACTCTGTGTTTGTCACCTTGAGACAAGGCTTTGGGGAACGTGTTTGTTGCAAGCAGATATTTCATCTTTTACACCAGCTCCCGTGTGATTTTAAAATTTGAGTTCCTAAGTAGTTTGGGACCCAGCTATTTGATCTGCTGCTGCCTTCACTTGCAGTGCTGCTGTAGTGGCCGACAGAGATGTGTAACACGGGATGTTTCTGGTTTGAAAGGAGCTGGATTGAGGGCAGGTAATTTGCCAAGCAGACGTTAAAGGGATTTGTACTTCTGTAATCCTGTTGAGTTGTCAGGGGCTTGGAGTTAGAGTGTTACAGTTTTACTACCTTGTTGTTTGTTATCCCATGTTTTTTCATGTGTACAGGAAAGCTGCATTTTTGATGGGAAACTTGGTTTAACTTGAGAGTTGTTTAACATGTTTTACAAAGATCCAGCTCCTTCTGCCTCTTGAGTTATTAGGCATGGAAGAGGTACTGTAAAATGGGGTAGAGTAATACCAGCAATAGCCTTCTCAACTGCAGTATCAGACTGCTCTGAATCTCTGCCAGGTACTTGGGCACAGGTTCATCAGAATGATTCCTTCTCCTCTGAATAATTGCCTGTATCAGTGTTCATACCATGGATGTGCTTATGCCCAAGGCCATAAAACTTTGACTGACATAGCCAATATAATAAAAAATAAACAGGATTATATGACGTCCTTGGCTATAGTAGTAGGGCAGCTGATAACCCTGGAGGTCCCCTCCTATTCCATATTTCTAGACTCAACCAAAATTTGTCCTAAGGTGGTAAAAAGTTCTATTTCAACTAGTCTGTAGATCTGCCAGAATATAATGGGAATAGTAATATAGAAAATGATACAGAATACCTAGCCTCTAAAGAAGCAAAGATGATTCTGTCTCATCACAGCGCTGAAGTGGATTAGATCCCACAGTGAGGTGCACAAATTTGCACCATTCTAAAAAAGCCTTAAAAAGTAGTCAGAGAACATGTACGTCACCTCTCTTAGGTGGCTTTATGTGTTGGAACCTTTATGTGTTGGACCCAGAGCCACTGTTGATGTGGCCCATCACTAAACTTTAGTCATGACAGAGGACTGAAGCTGGTGCAGTTCAGGAAGGCAGTCTCTGAAACCCAGTTCTTGCTATTTGCCAAGCTCCTTGCACAGAGGGCAATGTGTGAAGCATTTGTTCAAGAATGCTCCAGGTGTAGGAGAGTAACTCCGGTTTCAAATAACCAAATCACATTTCTAATGTTTTCTGTTTTGTTATCATAGTACTTCAGTGAGCTAAGGGCAACCTTGATAAACAGTCAGCCTGACAGCAAACGAGAAGTCCTTGACCAGTGCTTCAGGAACCTCATGGAAGGAGTTGAGCAAAACCTTTTGGTAAAGAACAGAGACAGGTAAGTTCATAACACATAAGCAGGTGAAAAATACAAAAGAGAAATGGAAACTGGAAAAAGTGACAATGTAAGGAAGTATTCCAGATAGCCGTGAACTGCATCTCCTTTTGAAAGAAGGATCACACCCTATCAAAGAACTCATCCCTAGACTTAACAGAGTCTGAACATTTTATAATTATGTATATTCTTGGTCAGAGATGTATTTCTGGATTTAATCCCAAAGTCATGGTTTGCCAGGCTGCAGCTGCTGCTTTTTTCACTTGGGCAAAACTGCCTTATTTCAGCAGGTAAGCCTCAGAGCCTCTCCTTCTCCAACCCTAAACCCCTCTGACAAAACATTTGCTTCAGTCTTCACTGGTACTGCTGTCCTGACAGAGCCTTGTCTTGCCGGTGATGCAGTTAAGCAACTGTTTGTGAAATGACAGAATAAGAAGGGGACACTTATACATTGGAGATAAACATGGCAAGGATGTTTTTTTAACATGAATCACAAATTAACCCGATCTTGCCCTCTTTTGAAAAACAGAATGGAAGCTTCACAAAAGAAGCAGTGAGTCTGTCAGCATTTAATGTGCATGCTAGCTCTTTGTTACCAGCTAGCTGTTCTCTCATATTCCACGTGCATTATTCAACTAAAACAAACCTTGAAAGTAGAGAGAGGCAATCAAAGCCCAGACTGTGGGGCTTCCTGGAAAGCCTGAAACAAACTGGAAAATGTCTTGAAGATAAATGAAGACTAAAACCTTTTGGTGACGCTTTGTCCATGACTTCTTTTCTATTTTTCAGTGTAAAAATTGGCAATTATTTTTTTTTTTAATTCTTGTGTAATTTTGCCTTAGTTGTGGTCATCTTTATTTTTTTTTCATTTTCCTGTTAAATTCCAGTATTAAAATAAGTTCTTTAAGGCTTGACTGTGGATGATAGTCAGAGACAGAGGGATTTGGAAGTGAACTCAGAAAAGTACAGATCGCACCCTTGTCAACAATAAATTTGCCAGAATTCGTATGTATTATGGATCAGCAAAAAAAATGGGGAAAAGACAGAGCCCACAAGGAAGGAGAAGAATGCCTGTTAGAACAAATTAAATCCAAGCTGGTAGTGGTGGGCTGTAGGACGTGGTCTGACCTCGCAGCTGTAAGTTCCAGGGGGATTCATTTGACTGAAAAGTCCTTCCAGAATAAAATGAAAAAAAAAAAAGGACAAATGAGAAACTGAGTAAAACTTGTTCTTAGAATGAGGTAGTTTCTTAGTTCTATAGCTATTTATTGAAGGCAAGAAGTCCTTAAGATAACATTGTTTTCTGAGAAAAGCAGACTTTGATGTGCAGGTTCTCTGAGCTGCTGTACTCCCAGAACAACAGACGTTAAGGCAGAAGGGGGATCGCTGGATGCTCTAGTCAAGGCTGGGGGAAGGAGTACGATGGGCAGGAGGCTGAGGTCCCCTGTTGTCACCTCCAGGCAGGCACCTGGGGTGCTGGACAATGCTGGGGATCCAGTTCTTGACTGTGCTCCCCCTGTTCAAGGAACGGACAGAGGCTGCTGGCAGATACTAGATTTGGCAAAGCTTAGGTTGGAATACACGTAGATTTAATACAGATTTTCATCTCTGAGCTCTTTGGAGTGTTCTCAGGCAGTGGCGCGGAAGCTCTCAGGGAGCTTTTGTGGAAGTGCAGGCAGGGAGGGATGGGTGCAGGTGTGAGGGGGTTAGGGATAATTTGGTCGAACGAGCAGCTCGTCTGTCTCAGTAGCATCCGCCTGTCTAACTTAGGAAGACTTTTAAGCCATCACTTCCCCAACAGGCAGCATGAGTTAATACGATGGCTTTTCTGTTTTCAGCCCATGATTTGTAATCCTTTTCAGAGTTCTGCTGGGGAACAGGAGGCTTCTTTTAACCGTGATTGTTTAAATTTGAGCAGAAATCAATTTCCATTAGTAAGGAAATAAACTCAAAAGTAAAAAATTATGAATAGAATAAAGAATGAACTCGTAATTGCATCCTGTATTTCCACACACAGTGAGCCCCCGTTTACCACACTGCTGCTACACCTACCCGTGAAGTACAGTACTGTGGAGGCAAGCAGGAAGGGAAGGGTTATTACCCCAGTCCTGCAAAGAGAGCTTTCCTGAGATCCCGTCAGTTCTGCAAGCACCTGTCCGCACAGCCCTTCGCAGGAAGGAGCCCTAAGGAGCTGTTCTTTGGGAAACTTTATTAGCCTCACTGTAGTGAGCCAGCAACATCTAACACAAAGCAAAGAGCATTGAGGCAACAAACAAAGGAACACCTAAAGATCCTACATGCAGGGTGCAATATACTTTTCTAGCATTTTAAATATCTTTTTTATTTTCAAAACACATACACGGGTATGTGATAAATGGCAATCAAATGCTTCGTTTCAGGTAAAGATAGCCCAGGGAAGTAGATCAGATTTGGGCCATCATAAAAGCTGAGTCAGAATTCTCCTTGTCTCCTGTCTGATGCCACTGGACAAATTTCCCATCCAACAAATGCCAGCAGAAAACTATTGGGAAATGCTTCTGTGAATCATTCTGTGCCAGATAGGTGATGGTGCCACATTTCACAGAGACAGGTTGTACTCAGAGAGGGGGGGGAGGTAGGTCTAAGATAGCCTGGACTTGATCACCCTCTTGACATGTCCCAGAGAGCCCTTTGCTGGAGGTTGGGAGAGAGGGGACGTGTTCCGAGTCACACGAGAGGAAAAGGTTTCTCGATGCGTTTGTTTCCCAGCTTACTTCTGAAATGAGTTTATAACACTTTCCGTACATGCCAGTAAGTTCATTATTATTTTATATAACTGGGTTTTGAGGGCACCTAGTGATTTTGTTTCTGCATTTTCCTCTGTTCTTTTTTCAGTTTAATTTAGATTTTAGTTATTCCTTTTACCAATTATTGAAACCGATACCTCAGTATCAGATCTCATTTAATGAAATGTTTGGGTTGTCTTTTTCCCAGGTTCACTCAGAATATGTCAGTCTTTCGAAGAGACATGGCTGAAGCTCTGCGCAGCGAAGGCGCCTCGGATCCCGGCAGTTTGGACATGATGAGTTGACATTGACTTAGGAAACCAGAGCACTGGCTAAGAAAACTACTTTGAAAGTTTTGAGACCCTGTTAAATTGTTAGATTTTGTCCCTTATGAAAACTATTTTTTTAAGATAACTTCTGCCTTTTTATATCTCTGGCATAAACATAAGGATTTGTAATAGTGAAAACAATGTAAAATCAGCCTTAGCTTAAACATTTTCAGCCTTTCTTACCAAAATTTATTATCTTGTTCTTGTATCTTTACAAAATGGTGTAGAAACAGTACTTAACCAAAGAACAAAATAAATATGCATTCCTTCTGAACTTGCATTAGTTAATGATTCTCAGTTCTGCATATAGTATTAAAAAACATCTCTTACCAATAAAAAAAACCCTGAGCTCATTTTGATTGAGTTCATATTTGTTGGAAAATGAGTTGAAAACCAGTGCAAATTTTATATGACATCTTTTTGAAACAATAAAATTGCTATTTTTCTACAAAATGTTATACATTTCTTTTCAACACAGGAGGTTTATGACGACATGGATAACAAAGTGGAAGAAGAGTAAAAATGAGCATTTTAGGCTATGAATATGACAAGGAAATTAAGCATGTTGCACATAATAAAAAATGTGCAACATAATGGTTGATGGAGCAACCATTAATGAAATACTGATAGTTGTTTGAATTCTACAAGTACAAATTTTCCAGGTCCTTGGAAACGGAGAGGGGGGAAAAATGCAAAACGTTATGACACTGTTTAAAAGGGATTTAATTCATCCACCGCTACAGAAAAGCAAGCAGATAGTTACAGAGACTTATTGCCCATATTTAAATGGCTTGTGGCACAATGAAGATGAACACATGCATCTAAACCAGCAAATTCAGCAAATTTGTCTTCACCTGTCAGAGGACATAAAGAGTTCAGTGTGCACCAAAACAAAATCCCTCCTCCAGTCTGAAGCTCACGCGTAAGCTCGCCACGCTGATTTTCTGTGGAACAATTAATGTCATTATTCTGTGGCGGGTACGAGGCACTGTGTGGGCTGATGAAATACACAAATGAATTGAAGCAAAATCTAACAAAAATTAGAACTATTTAAGCAGTAAGTCAATTAGTTCATAATGTACAAATGCTATTATGTGCAATTAGAAGCTATCGGCATTGGGTTGGGTTTTTCTTTTTTTTTATGTAAATAATTGATCTCATGTGCTTTTCACGCTTGCTTACATTGTTGTGTTTAGGAACATTTCACCACTGTTTAGATCAGAATATGATTTTTTTATTGTGGCCATCAGGGAGCAAAAGTTCATACCAATATTTCCTATAGATTTTTCAATTTTTTTCTTTGCCACTCTTTTTTATTTTTCTGCACTTTTAAACTGCAGGAACTAGATCTGAAAGGAAATCATTTTGTTAAGCAGCTTTTTGTTTTCATTTAAGCTTAGCTGGAGAAATTATTTAACGTGCAGCCAAAGGGTCTGATTTCCAGGAGTGCTGTGTACCTGAGAAAAGGATCGATGGAGTTAGTAAAGAGCAGTGGATTTTTGGTATTGCAAAGTGCCAAGGTTTGAAAACTTCACAGTAAGTGGGTGATCATTATCAACACCTGAAACAAATAGGAATTAGTACAGCTGTTCACCTTACACTTCGGTCCTTGAAGGAAACTAGAATCATTGCTCCCAAGTCAAATTTTACAAGCTGCAAAACTTGTGGACTGGTTCACACTCACGTGTGCGCATGTGCACATGAATGTGTGTGGGGAGCGGGATTTGGGGAAAAGTCTCTCCGTTTTACCTTGCAAATGGTTGCAGGGCTCAGTGCTGAGCCGTGCCACTGCCTCTCTGGCAGGTTTGCTATACGAACCCTTCCATAACCTTACAACTCAACGTTGGCATTAAAAGGCTCAGTTGAAAGCTAATGGGTTCTGTGATTCCGGTTTTCCTTGTCATAGGGTGGAAATAAATATTGGTTGCATACAAGCTGCTTGTGCGCACAGAGCAGTCAGTTTGCTGGTTAAATGAGCTGCTCTGCTGAAAGCTGAAGTTTGGCACGCTGAAAAGGAGAGCACCGTGTGCCCTCGTAACTTGGCACTCAGACTTTAGGGCTTGCTTTAATATAAGGCTGCTGACTCCCTGGGGCGCTGGAGTGCGTTTTTGAAACTTCCCTTCTAACACATCCCTTGTTACAGCTTACAAGTAAGATCTAAAGAACACCTTATAAACTGGGCACACGATGCGCGTATTTGAACAGCGTTCCAACCTTGGTTAACAATTGACAACAGGAACTTATTTAGAGTAGCTGACCATATAAATACTCTTGCTTTTAGGTTGAAAATGGATAGTATAGCAAATAATGTATTTTATGACTCCAGATTCTTTGTCGAGAGTCTTTAGTGTCAGCCTTTAAAAGGGTACTGACAAAGTGGGTACAGCACAGAATTTCCTCATCTGTTTACAAAGGATGTGTAATTCCTTTTTGGTTTGTGTGCGTGGTTTGGTTTGTTTGTTTGTTTGTTTGTTTTTTTATTTTTATTTTTATTTTTTAACACATAATTACCTTAAGAGGTTTGGATTTTTTTCTCCTTAAAAAAAAAAAAAAAAGTGGAAAAAATGGAAAACAAAAATCAGAAAGGAAGACTGTACTTGGCCCCCGGTGTTTTCCTCTCAAGAGCCCGATGTGAGTCTGTCTGGTTATGCAAACCAACTGGGGCTGCAAAATAGTTCTGAGTCTCCCCCAGCTGTGTTCTCTGCTGTCCCAGCGAGAGGCACCAAGAAACAAATCTCAGGTAAGCATCCGTCCTCCTGAGAGGGGAGAATAAAGCAGCCCCTCGAGCAGCCTCGCTCTGCACAGGCAAAGGAAGCTTTCTAAGGAAAACACAAAGTTTTAATATCTTGTCCTGCTTGCATAAGGAGGCTTTGAAGAAACTCAGCCGTGAGTATATGCACACTTTATAAAATAATTCCTTGGACTTGTTAATGTTTTATTGTAGTATGAGTTTATGATGACAGCAAACCTTTCAAACTGTAGAGGGATAACGTGCTTCCTTGCTGTATTAAAAAATAATGTTAGTGTAGATTTTATGTACCATAGTTTAGATTGCTGTTAAGAGCGCTTCTTTGACAACATTCTTTTTGAGGCTTACAGAAAGCGCAATAAAATATGTAAGTTACATTTCTACAAACAAAAGCCATAACATAAGTTATTTATAAGTGTGAGATCCAAACAGTATCACGATAAATAAACCTTAATGGATACCTGCGGCATCCATCCTAATGTAATTTGCCCAACAAAAGTCATATTTAGTAGAAAAATCTGGCAGCAACCGCATGTTGGTAGATAAAACAAGCATAGGAGAGGAGAAGGAAGGCACCGGCTGCGCTCCGGGTTTACGCAGCGAGCACCTGCACCTCCCCGCAGCCCCTTGGCGAGGCGTGGGGACCCGATGGCCGCCTCCTGCAGGGTTTGTCCCGTTACCGGGACGTTCCCCTCAGCTCCACCGCAGCCTGAGGTGCTCAGAGGTGGCAGAAAGAAACGGCCCCGTCTGCCCCGCGTCCTCCTGCCGCTCTCCTCTCAGCCCCGGCTCCTTCCCTCGCGCCCTCCCCACGTCACTGGGTTTCATGCTTTGGTGTGGAGCAATGCACGGATTTTGAGCCAAAACAAAGTTCAGGCTTTTCTAATAAAACCCGTAAGGCTACCAACCGGATAAAAATGCGCTCTGAAACGTGACTTGAAGCCACTAAGGTACGTTCGGTGTCTGAGGCTGCACGCCACCTCTACCCGTTTGCTCTGATGGCGTTTAACCCTTCCGACCCCTCCGCAGGGACCCACGGGGTTTATTTACCTCCCTCCTCTGCTTTTTGGGGGCTGGTGCCTCGCGGTGAGCGCAGACCCCGGCTCCCCCAGCCTGTGCTGGCGGGGGGCTCATCGCCCCTCTGTGCCAGGAGAGGTGCGGGAAGGTGAAAGGGGGCAGAGCTGGGGGGCTCTGCCTGGAAGGGACGCACGGCACAGCCTGGCAGGGCCCTGCAGGAGCGGGGACAGCGGCAGGGGACAGCTGAGAGCGGCCCAGGTGGGGGCTGCTGCCCAGCCGCCCGGCCTCCTTCCCCTGCCCGCTCCAGCCTCACCCCGCCGGCCTGCGAGGCCTGGCAAAAGCCTCTGCAGAGGGTCCATGAGTAGTGGCAGGTGCCGTGTGTTCAAGGACACGTTTGGGGGTTACCCAAGGGATTTTATTTATTAGTAATTCTCACCCCGCTTTATCCCTACAGAACAGGCCGTAGAGAGCCAGCCCGGCCTTGCCTGCTGCCAGTGCCAGGCGCTGCAGCAGAAACCTCTCCTCACCCAGCGCCACTTCCAGGCCCCGTGTGGGGAGAGACAAAACCCGAAGCAGCATCGGGGGCTGCTTTTGGGGTGTCGTGTCCCCGCCTGCAGGCCTGCGGCTGGCTGTGATGCGAGGTGCTGTGAGCGGGCCTGGTGGCTGCGGGACCTGGCTGCAAGGGGAGCTGCCCTGCAGCGGCTGGATTCCTGCATCAAAGCACAGCCTCGGGGTAACGGGGTGATACCTGAGAGGAGACGCTGCCCTGAGCATCCTTTAGAGGAGGGTTTGTTTGTGGCAGTGAGACCGCCAGAGAGGAGGCACGGAGATGCTGCTGAAGACTGGTGCTAGGTCAGAGGCATGAGCACGCGACCTTCACAACACTTTTTTTTTCCTACCTTGTTTCAGACTCGAGCAGGGCCTTGGGGAGGGTCCTGCGGCCACTGCCAGCCCAGGCCCTGGCAGCTGGAGCCCTTGGAGCTGGGGCAGGAGGCAGGGACGGGGCAGGAGGCGCTGGCCATGCAGGATCACAGCTGGATGGGGCAGGAGGGGGGGGCTGCAGCCCTCCTACATCCACCTGCATGACACGGGTGGGCTGCACAGCCTCTTCAGGGCTCGGGGTGGATGTTTTCCCCAGCTCTGGGGTCGCTTCTCTCCAGCTGGCTGCTCCAGCCCAGCCGGGCCTCCCGGCCTCAGGTCTCCTGCGCGAGCATCGATCTCGCTGCGGCCCCGCGCTCCCGCTCCTAGGAGCTGCGCAGCGATGTTGCCATCAATTAACGGCCCATTATTATAAAACGCTGCCTCCCGGTTTTAAAAGGTTGGAGGAGTCCCGCAGTGGTTTCTCTTGGTCTCATTCCCAGAGATCTGTCCCTCTCACCTTTGAAACAAAATGCCCCGTTTTAAAAATAATTAATGGTAAATATGATAAAAAAATAAATTTAAAAAAAAAAAAAGTAATGGATCATTTGGCCCACGCTAAATTTTGTCAATAAACATTTAACCAAGGCTAC